TTTGTGCCCGGGGGAGGCAGGAAAAAAAAATTTTTTTTTTTTTTTTTTTTTTAAGATATTATGCAGAGTGGGCCTGTCCGCACGAGCCCTTCGCGCCACTGCAGCACATCGAGAATTAACAGGTCGCTCTTAAAAATACGTCAAAATGCAGTTTTTTAATGGAAAACAGAGAATTTCATGGTTCTTAAGACTTTTGTGACACTGCGAATTTCATGGGGCTTTAATCATTGCCTTCCCAGGCTGGGTGACAAGCCGTGATACCCTGCAGGGTGAGAGACACTATGTGGCAGCTTACTGCATTATAATAATACACGGAAGCACTATAATTTTCCTATTAACTTCAAAAGTTTACAATCCTATTATCATCTGCTGTTGAGGTTGGTGCTGAATGATAGCAAACGTATAGAAGGCACCAATGTAAATAATGAAATGGAGTATCTTTAAAAAAAAAAAAACACTTGAAGTTGGGAGTGAGCAGAACCCTACAAAAAAATTTAGTGATTGAAATATTAAAACTGTCCAACCTGTTCTGCCTCGGTCTCGCCCGTAGCTCTGCCTTTGCCTGAAGAATAAAGGGCGCAAGGGGAGGGCAGAAATTGAATTTTCTGTTGCATTTCTGCTAATGCATCAGAGAGGATCTCTCTGTAGCTCCGAGTTTGCCATTCTTGTCCCTGATGTGGTTTTCTGTGGTGTCTCTGCAAAAAGCCCGAGCGACCGTCCTGGCCTAGGCAGGTCTTTTCCACCCGCGTGTCCTGGCGGGCGGTGGGAAGGGTCTCCAGGGCCGACGCACCCGGGCGCTGAAGCAGGCCCAGCCCTAGGGACGACCCCGGCCAAGCCGACCCCGGCGTTTTGGGACAGGGATTTCCCCACATCATCCCACTTACAGGATATTTTCAGCTTCTGTTGGCTTTTCCTCTTGCAACAAATTCCCTGTGGGCTTGGACAATGGCAGGCAGCACTTCCACTTCGGATCTTCTCCGTAAGACGGGGAGAACGAAGGTTTATTGCTCCAAGATCTTTCCCCTGGGCCAGGATCAGAAGGAGCCGTGCCGAGAGTTTTGAGCTATATGCTGCAAAAAAATAACAGCGCCAGCACCAGACAGCGATAATGCCGATTTCCTGGCAGTGCCTGGGCCGTGAAATCAATCCGTGCGGGCTCCCTCCTCGCAGGAATCGCAGCCCTGCAGAGCCAGCGCGCGGCGGCACGGAGGTAGAGCTGCCAGGTGGCTTTTTGTGCTTTTTCTAAAGCTCTGGTGGTCTCCGAGATGCATTTGTAATTTGGCAGCAGAACTAAGCGGCGGGGAATAAGCCTTTTTGGCAGCGGGCAGGAAGGAGGGAGCTGGCACGAGGCGGGGGAGCCCCCGCAATCACACCCCTGCAATCACACCCGGGCCGACACGGCGGCCCCGTCTCTGCTGACACCTTCGGCAATTAGATCCGCTCCCCGGGGCTGCAAATTGAGCTGCCGTTATCCGCCGAGCGCCGAGCTGGGGGAAC